CTCAAGTTGGGGTTTTCTTGCAGTACACAGGACCTACCTTTGGTGCGGCATTGCCAGGGAGACTATACCGTGTAATCCATTATCTTTCCAGCAAGCTCCATGTTCATCTTCCCCTATTTTCTTTGGCAGCAGGAACTTGACAGCCTGCCGGTCTTCCAATACTAACAATCGGCAGCAGGTGCTCAAGCTGTTAGAAACATGGCTCAGTTTACTAAGAGTTAAATACTGCATTAAAATAACTCATGGTATTTAATTCAGGAACATGCAATTCACAAACAAAGGCACAATAAATACCTGATGAGATAATTTTCTTTTTATTTTGTGGTATTCAACATGTGTTTTTGCACCATATTTTAACACAGACCAGACCAGCTGAAAGTGAAGCATTTAGCAGTGGTATTACTACCACTGCTATATATGACAGTTCAGCTCAGGGCTCCTAATTGTTAAGAGGCTAGCATCTGCCAGCATTCTAACAACCATGTCAATACATACCAGGCTCTTCAGGTCTGGTGTGGATTTTGAGGGGCACCTCATGCAAAAAATCAAAACCTGAAGCATACCAGGCTACGTGCCCTCAACATGGTGGTGTGTGCTTTGCTGGGGGGGGGGAGGGGGCTGACAAAGCACCTTGTTCCTATGTTGATGATGAAAAAGGCCTCTCCCCCACATCCCTGGTCTTTGATTGGTAAATGAGTAGGGGTAAATACCCCATACTCATTCACATGGGGGGGGGATCTGAGGGCCTCCCCAGCAAAGCACCCCCCATGTTAAGGGTATGGGTCCTGGTATTGTTCGGGGGCGCATGCTCATCCTTCCTTTATTGGCTTATTGGACTACATGCTCGAAAAAGGTTCTGGTATTAATTTTGGAGGGGGGCCCTTATGCTATTTTTTTATTCTTGGTGTGAGGTCCCACCCATAATCCATACCAGACCCGAAGGGTCCTCTTTGGTTGATATTTGTATTTTATGTTCTCCTTATTTTTGTGTGGGCTTCTTCCCACATTCTAAAAGTCTATGCCTAGATTGTTAGGATGATGGGATAGACTTCAACGTAAGAGAAAATAAATTATTTCCACTCTCTTAGAGGGCAATGCTTTAATTTTCTAAGAGAAGGGATTTTACTCCCATTGTCCACCAGAAATTATTTTACTTTTACTGTCCAAGAGAAAAAATGTGTAGGAAATTTCTTTTTTTATAGAAAAGAGAGGGCAATACTTCCACTCCCCAAGATAGATGACATTTCTTCCCTGAAGACTTTTATATTACTTTCACTTTCAAAGAGAGAGGCATTGTGTTCACTCTCCAAGAGAGGTAATTTCTTTCATCATCAAAGAGAGAAGACATTATTTTCACTGTCCAAGAGACAGAATATTACTTCCACTATCCAAGATAGTGGACATTATTTCAACTTTCCAAGAGAGGGGACATTATTTCCACTCTTCAAGAGAAAAGACATTACTTCTATTGTACAAGAGAAAGTACATTACTTCCGCTGTTGAAGAGAAAGAACTCTCCGAGAGAACATTACTTCCATTTTCAAATAGAGAGGACATTACTTCCACTTTCCAAGAAAGAGGATATTACTTCCACTGTTCAAGTGAGAGAACATAATTTTCACTCTTCAAGAGGGAGAGTATTACTTCCTCTGTCTATTAGAAAATACATTACAGTCACTGTCCAAGAGAAAGGGCATTTCTTCCACTTTCCAAGAGAGAGGACATTCATTGCACTATCCAAAAGAAAATACATTATTTCCACTTTCCAAGAGAGAGGGATTACCTGCACTCCCCAATAGATGAGACATTACTCCCACTCTCCCAGAGAGGAATTTACTTCCACTGTCCAAGAAAGAAAAAATTACTTTCATTGTTGAAAAACAGGTAATTTCTTCCACTGTCAAAGAGTGAAAACATCACTTCCACAGTCCAAAAGTGAGGACATTACTTCCACTGTCCAAGAGAGTGGACATTAGTTCCATACTCCAAGAGGAAAAAACATTACTTCCACACTTTGAGAGAAAAGACAATAATTCCATTGTTGAGAGAAAGTACAGTATATTGGTATACTTCCAAAGGGAATCAACATTACCTCCAGTGTCCAAAAGTCCAAAAAGAAGGGCATTACTTCCACTCTTCAAGAGAGAATTATTTTCACTTTCCGAGAAAGGACATTATGTTCCAGATAAATTACATTACTTCCACTTTCCAAGAGACATTACTGCCACTATCCATGAGCTAGGGCATTACTTTCACTCTTCAAGAGAGAAGACATTACTTCCACTGTCCAAGAGAGACTTTATTACTTTCACTGTTTGAGAGAAAACACATTTCTGCCACTGTCTAAAAGACATGAAATCACCATGCAAGAGGCTATGACAGAAGATCAGGGGCATCTGTTTACTATGTTTGTATTTTATGGAGGATTTTAAAAGATACTGGTCCTCAAAGACCACAGTGCAGAGGTTGTAAATAAACATGTATCAGAAGATGTAAAAAAAAAAGCGGGTCCTAAGTTCCAGTTCAAGCACAATGGCGTTTATTTACTAAAGCTGGAAAGTGCAAAATCAGGCTCACTTCTGCATAGAAACCAATCAGCTTATAACCTCTGCTTGTTCAATTAACCACTTTTTCGCCACCCTATAGCAGAACTACTGCTAAAGGGCGGCAGTGCTTCGCAAAGTCACGTAAATATACATGATTTGCATTTTCGGGAAGGGGTCGCACTTGCCGCCTAACCCGTCCTGCTGTTGGCTGCTGGACATGTCAGTCGCCAGGTCCCGGATGGTGATTCTCGGTCGGGACTTAGTGATGGTCGGCAGAGCTGACAGGGGAAAGACCTGTGTGTAAACAACACAGGTTTCTCTCCTGTCAGCAAGGACATGCTGCTGTGTATTTCTCTGCACAGCAGAGAAATACACAGCAGCATGTTTCCTTAGTAAAACAAACACAGCACATGATGTAAAACACACACAGCACACTGTTAACCCTTTGATCGCCCCAGATGTTAACCCCTTTCTGCCCAGTGTCATTAATACAGTGTCAGTGCTTTTTATTAGCACTGATCACTGTATCAGTGTCATTGGGATGTCAGTGGCAGTTAGTCATTTCCCACCCAGTATCAGAATGCCTGCCGCAGTCCCGCTATAAGTCGCTGATCGCTGCCATTACTAGTAGAAAAAAAAAAATAAAAAAAATTCCAGTATATATGCCGCCATTTGTAGATGCTATAACTTTCACATAATCAAATTATTTTATATGTATTGGGATTTTTTTTTTAGCAAAGACATGTAACAAAATACATTTTGGCTGAAATTAGGAAGAAATTAGATTTTTTAAATTTTTTTTACTGGATATGTTTTATAGCAAAAAGCCAAAAATCATTGTTTTGTTTTTGAAATTGCATTTTTTAGTTTATAGCGCAAACAATAGAAAAAGAACAGGTGATCAAATACCACAGAACGAAAGCTCTATTTGTGAGGGAAAAAAGGACATGAATTTAATTTGGGTGCAGCATTGCATGACCACACAATTATCAGTTAAAGTAACACAGCTCTGTATCACAAAAAATGGCCTGGTAAGGAAGGAGGGTAAATCCTCTGGAGGGTAAGTGGTTAAGCTTTGGCAATAAAACCTGGAAGCTGATTGGTTTCTATTCAGAAGTGAGCTTGATTTTGCACTCTCCAGCTTTAGTAAATAAACCCCAATCTGTATTGGCAATAACTTCACATATGACATATGCATATGACAGTGGTAAGTCAATCGAAAGGTGTTTTTACTGTTTACATATGGGTAAGATTTAATTAGTCATCTGGAAGTCCATAGAAAAAAAAACGTAAATACTTTAATAGATACAGGGTCATACATTTGTTTGCTCCGAGGTCCTTACCAGTTATCAGATGTACTGGACAAAGGATAATTCCACAAATAGCCAACATTAAAATCAGATATTTTCTCTCTCACATTAGGGAATCTGTAATATTTATTAAGATGATCACGGTACTGAAGGCAAGAAGCTGCAGCACTGTGTTTATCATAATATAATCCTTCCATGAAAGCTGGAGACAATGCTTAACAGAGATTTCACACCTGAACTGGTCCGAAAATGCATAATTGAATTGTTTCCAGTTGTTTAGGTTTATTCTGTTTTCTGCATGATCATCTGTTCGGAAAATAAACTGCTTAAGTTTTTCTTTATGTATAATCACTAGTATATAAGTAGAAGAGGAATGTTCCATTTTATTTTAAACCCTAAATGAAAACAAATCATGCTGGTATTGTGCACTCTGCTGTTTTGATTGGTTGGCATTTAACCATATTAACCAGCAGTTTGATGTACAGGTATGGAAATTCTTATTTGAAAATCCATTAACCCAAAAAATCTGAATGGCAGGCAGAAGAATAAAAAAAAACTGAGTTTTTGTTTAATATAATGAATTTGTACACATTTTTATTCCAAAGTAATTATGCAGAATACTGTTTAATGCTTTAACCTCCCTGGCAGTATGATTATTTCAGATTTTTGGTGCTGAAAGCGGTACCATTATTTTGCATGGAAATTTGGTGTTTTACATTGTAGGCCTGTCATTTTTAGGAATAACTCACTGAAATCTGTCCGAACAAGAGTCTAGTAAACATCCTGGGTAGGATAAAACTTGAAACACTAAATCATAAATTATAATTTAATAAATAATCATAAAATATAATAATAAATTTAATTCAATAATATAATGAAACCAAAAACACTGAAATTTGAAATATAGCGCTAAGTTCGCACATCACTGAGCAAAGTCGCAAAATCGTTTTCAGTGTCTGATGACGAATTTCCCCACAAATCATTATCACTCAATTCTGCAATTGGTTCTGATTTACTATCGCTGTTCTAAAACCGCTTTTGACCTAAAGGGGCGCTTTTTGGACGCCATGGACGTTTCTCAGTTTCCAGGCAATAAGAACAGTAAAAATGCAGGCAGGGCGCAGGACAAAGCACTTGGGACAAAATGTATGTGAAATGGTTTGATACAGTAATGTTTTACTATGAGATTTTAGTGAATGTCACTTTTTGTCATTTTCAAATTTCCCGCCGTTCTGTCCCCCGTACGTCCCGACGCTCGCAGGGGACGGAACCCAGAAGACAGATGCCGGCATCCGCCCCGGATTACATTGCTGGGAATACTGCAGGAGGTACATCGCGGGGAGCGCAGGACAAGGTAAGTGATCGAGGGATCGCAGAGCAGCGCCGCATGGTATTTCCGAGTGTAGCTCAGGGTTACCGCTTGTGGTACTGAAACTTTACCCCGAGCTACACTCGGGAATACCACCAGGGAGGTTAATAGCTAAAATTAAAGTGGTGTGGCTGCAAAAATGGGCAATTTTCAGTAGTTTTCAAGTATTACAAAAATACCCATCAGCCTGAGAGTCCTGAATAATCTGCATAAATGATCCTTGCAACTGATTTACTAAACACAGCAGAAAATTGTGACCAGCAGTGTACCCAGACAATATTGTAGGAAGACTTGACGAGATCACAACAGAGAGCAGGCCAGGTAGGAGAATTCCCTTTTTACTTCCTGCGTCCTATAACCATTGCCGCATAGTATTGTCAGAGAGATTCACCTTTTTTGTACATCAGGGACTGCATTAGGATCCTGGGTGAAACATTAAAGCATAGCTGGGCACATCACTTAAAATTCACCTACAGGCAAAACTTTTTTTCATTTTGGATAGAGTAAGGAAGGGCTATAACAGCTGTTAGTTTTATTTTTAGCATCTGTGTCCCTTTGGGGAGATTTTTCTTCACTCCCTGCCCCATAGCTAAAACATGAATGGAAATCCCTCCAAAGCAAGCTGATCCCCGGTTGCCACCAGGGGTAGCAGAACTACAGTAGTGCCCCCATTGAAAGAGAATCAACCCAAAATTTGGGATTTTCTTCCACCCTTACTTTCTATGATAACTGTAAACAGGACAAATAGAGTGAATTTCCAGCAGGAAAAATCTGACAGGAGTTCTAATCCCTCTCTACTCCAAAATAGAAATGTCATTTGCCTTTAGTTATACTTTAAGAATTATCTTTATAAATTAAATTTAGGAACTGCATTGTGCTGCACTGTGCTGTACTGCATGTTATGTAAATAGAGGTGTACACTAGCCATGGGGAGCAAATGTGCCCCAAGTCAATAGAAACATTTGTGTTTCCAATGTGTTAAAGGACAGCAACTGGTTACTAATAACAACTATTTATGCCAAAACAGTAGGCAGCTTCTATTCAAAGCTGGAAAAGAACCAGCCTCCCCTTTCATCATTGGTATGGCAATGCGCCAATTCTGTAAAACCGTAACTACTAATTATTTATCTACTCTCGCTACACCTGTGCATTTGGTGAAACTGGAACAAAAAGTATGTAAAATGTTTAGAATTATCACACATTAACACACAAGTCAGGACCTCATTTTACATTCTGTTGCCTTAGCACTCCTAAAGAATATGCCCTTTTACGTAGGCTACTAATCCTTCCTTACCTACCATTTTACATAATTATAATGTTACAAATTAACACCAAAATTTCATATTTCAAAACATTTGTTTTATATACTGAAGTCTCACAGTCTAAACCTGTACTTGACTCAATCAAAATAGTAGCAGGCTGTATTTTCCATACTCAAGTGAGAAGCTAGACATTTCTATAAGCAGTGCTAATACTGGATATAACCATAAGTGCTATGAGACAGAAAGTGAAAGAAAATAAAAAGTACATACACATTTTCTGCATGCATTTTGGTGCTACTTCTCTGTCTCCCACCATGTGTAAAGGGTCATAATGGTCCTACTCAAGCTGCATTTTCACATTGAAAAGGATATATATTGAGAAAATGGTTCTCTAATGTCCTTTTTTCCATTACTATAGGATTAGTTTTCTGAGGGATAAAAATTAAATATTGATGAAAACCAATGCACGTTTTTTTCAATTGGTTTTTGATGCAGCATTGTAATGCATTTATCAAAATACAAAGGTTTTGCACAAGCAAAAATTTACTAAAAGAACCTTATATGAAACTCGAGTCTTATCCGCATTCACAACAACCAGTCTCCACTGCAATATTTGTTTTGGAATCACGTTCACATTATACAAATTTAACACGCAGAATAAATAACCACTGTGCTGAAGATAATATGATATTGACTTCTTGGGCTGTGTTAATTTCCATTGATCAACACAGCATGGAGAACTCGTGCAGAATGTGACAGACCTCCCACCACCGGCACAAATAGTTCTTCTATGTAATAGTGCTTTGTTAACTCAGAGGGGGTTCTCTTTCGGGCTAGATTTATCTAAATTCCTGGATAGATTATTGGATGTATGACTTTGCAGTGCTTCTAAATAATTTAGGATTGCCAGTAGGGCTTTGCAAGCTATTGGTTTTCTCTCTGGAATAACAACTATTTGACTTTTTTGTTTCATTGCACTAACATTAATACATTATAATAAGGTAATCCAATAACCATGATCAGTCATCGTCCCTAGACAAGGGTTATAATCTGTCAATGGAAATCAGTTAAGAGTTGCTTTACACTTTTAGTTGCATAGCTGCTACACTGCAGAAGTTTACCTAGACAGTGATTATAGCTACCATACAGAAAAAATACCTTAAACATGTAACAATGTAAGTGGGAGTTGTTAAGGTGGCTGCAAGAGTTAGGGCTCATACGTAAGGGAACTAAAAGTAGTGCTTAACAGACAGTTTTATTGACTTTTGAGTGGGTCCAAATGCTGGATTAAGATAGGTATGGCTTCACCTTGCCCCTGCCCAAATGTTGTATGCACTATTGGGTCATTCCAGGCCACAAAAGTTCATCACTTCTTGTATCTGTTTTGCTCTAATGGATTTTTTTCCATTTAGAAGCCCTTATTAACGTATGATAGGGAAAAAGAAAAGTTGAAAGATAACCTTTTAGGAACATTTAGACAACATAAGGTACTAGTAGTTACTAAGACTACTATAGACCGGCCATAACAGTTGCTCTAGGCTCTCCAAAATTTGTGCTGATTATCCTATCTAGAAGATGAAGCATTGCCTAGTAGAGGGGGATATAAAATGTTCAGTATTTGCTGCATGGCAATGGGAATCCTGAACACTGTTATAGTGGCATTGGCATGTTTTTCCTTCTATTTTTATATTTATTTATTTTTTTTGCATAGATATAGTGAATCAAAATCTTTTGGTTTTAGTTCTGATTAAACTGGGAATGTTTTAGAACATTTGTCAAGTGTTTTTTTTTTATCTTTATCCCTGTCATAGAGATTCACTCTCTATTTGTCCTGGTGACCACTGTACCAGGCCTGGGAAAAAGATCTTAAATTCTGAGTTATTAGTAGAGCCCTAGAACAGGAAGTAATGGGAAATCTTCCTATGGAGGCACCTGTTCTTCCAAAGACTGACTTAAAGGGGGACATTTTTAAATAAATTTTGGAAAGTTTTCCCTAATTCTTGTTGTGTCTACAGAATAAAATGTGAAATGGAATCTCTCCAAGGGGACATATATGATAAAATAGCCTAGCAAAAACAGCTTTGGATATGTTTTAAGCGTTCAATAATTGAGCTAACTTCAGGGTATGTATCTGTCTAAGAAGTGGGACTACAAGTTAACACCAGATTCAGCTTTGTCCATATATCTCTAAAAACCTAGATTATAGGGCACTGTACTAGCAACAACAAACCTTGGATTTTTTTTCACACTTACTGTATGTCATGGCTAGGGATGAGGATTGGATTCACTTCAACCATGCATTTAAACATTTGACCAGTTATGCAGGCAGGCGAACTTTGGAGCAGACCATGATGTGCTACATAGCCTTTGTACCTGTGACAAGAGTTAAAATTATAAGAATGGATAACCAGGACTAAAGAATAGAGTGGACACACAACATCCATGCTGTGTGCTTGATGTGTTGTAGGTAAAACATAGAGAGAAGTTGCATATTGCAAAGGGAGACATTAGGACTAGATACGTGTAGGACCTGTAGGTATCAGTATCTGTGCATGACATGTAGTTAGCTAAATGCTGTGTATTTTAACAATTGTCTTTTTTGTTGGGGGGTTGCGGTGGCCTTTATTATCTATTGTTACACCTTAGTGTGCTGCTGGTCTACTGCAGCTTCTCTGCAGCCACTTCCTGTCTATATGCACTGCAGTGATGGTTGCATGGTATTTCACAGGGCATGTTTCCTAATGGTGAGACCAGCTGAATATGTTTGTGCAATGTGAATCATCATGCAAAAGCTTGCAATCTTGCAATCTCAAAGACTGTATTGAAAGTCATTTAATTATTAACATTTTATTTAGGCAACAGACTGTAAGTGTTGTCTAGAGAGCATAGTTAAAGAGTAAGGATGGGGTTCATGTTTTTGTGCAGAATTCATACCAACTTTTGGTGTTCACAGTTCGACCTGTCTCCTAGCATGCTGTGATGGCTGACTACCCACATCATGATGATGTCATCAGTCGCTAGGACCCAGGTGGTTGCACACTCATTGTTTGTTATGGTTCAGCATAATAATCCATAACAGTTAAAGAAAAAAGCAACAGGAAAGCAACATGGGGCTCCCCTCTGGATTCATACTAGACCCTTAACCAAGCAGACAGCCTAATTAAACAGGACGGGAGGGGCAGTGAGTGTGTGCCCTTCTCCCTCCTTAGCTGCACAAGGCTAAATAGCCTCAATATGATATCTGCACCCCCTTCCGCACATGAATAAGTAAGGGGCACATAGTAAATGGAGGTCACATGAAATTTTTGCTATGCTTGCTGAATGTACATTCATTGCTCATGGAAACCACGTGTATAACTTGCACTAGAATGACTCTTAACTTGCTGAATCGTCATACCCCATGTGCTTGTGACCAAAGCTGTAGAGTAAATGCAAAGTTGTACCTGTTACTCACATTACACCCCTTTGAGTAACTTCAGACCAGGCAAAGGTAAAGTTTCAATGCTTTACCAAGTAAAAGTATGCTTGAGAAAAAAAAAGTCCCAAACAGACAGAACAGTCCAACTTCAAGCAAACTTTCATTATCTTTAAGTCCCTAGTCCCCAATCCTAACCAGACTATGAGCTGCCCCTGCATACCTGTATAAGGTAGAGTCCATGTGCTAAAAGGTCCATCAGTGGCAATCCCTGCAGCTGGTGTCTTTGGGGGCGAACCCCAGGTAAAGAGGACCTTCTACGTCAACAGCAGGCGGCACTCTTGTACATCTCGCGGCTTCCCAATTTTCCAACCAGGTCTGGTGCTCTGGGCTTTCAGCTCTTCTTGGGGAATCTCTCTCCTAAATCACTAACCCTTT